CTTACCTGATATTAGAGGTTTTGTTAGATAATTTATGGTTCTTGGGGGAGCATTAACACTTCAATTGACATAACTTTATATATCCACATATGCTTTTTGTATATTATATGTAATTATAGTTACGCATAAACTGCAATTCCCTATGACTTACTCAAACATCCTTGGTGTTTTTTATTCCTTTTATCTCTCCTTCTATACTGCCCTCTGCCCATTTCCTATTTCCCTTTTATAGCACCTGTATTCAACTATCCCTATGTGTGTGTGACACTGTTCTTAGGGAGACATGAAGAAAGATCTGTTCACCGCAGATAGGGAACCAATGACAGATCAAAGTAAGGATAACACCAAAGTCCAAATTGGTGCATCATTGAGTTTTATTGTGTTACTTATCAGAACAGAGATGACGTAAAGATAGTTGTATCACCAAAAGCCCGCTGCAGGATGGGTGACCCCTCACAAAAGATGGAAACCTGGAGCACACTACAAAACTTTTAGGCTACTCACCAGGTTGCAGAGTGTCCTTTTCTGGTAGACCAGCTGCTCTCCACCATTTCTGTGCAGTTCGGTGGGCTTGGCTTTCTTCCAGACAGTTCAGCTGGTCTGAAAATGCTTTTCAGCACTTCTTACTGCTTATATATACCTGGGAAGGGAGGAAACTATGAATCTGGTCAGTTTCAGGGACTTCCTGAAGCTATTTTTAGTTTTTACTTCATGGGCTTATATTGTTTCTGATCTTAGATTAAATTCTTCCAGCATTTCCCTATTTTGTATGATGTTAGCTATGGGTTTTTCATGTACAGCCTTTATTATGTTAAACCATAAACTAATGTATTCAAAAATTTTATTATGAAGGGATGTTGACTTTTATAATATGTGTTTTCTCTACTTACTGGGATTATTTTTATCCTTGTTATATTAGTGTGATAAATTATATTTAATGATTTGTATATGCAGAATCACTCATAACTTCATCATTGTCGTGGTACTTAGCTTTTTGCTGTGCTGCTAAATTCAATTTGCTAGTATTTTGTTAAAAAATTTTGCATCAGTGTTTATCAGAGATGTTTCCTTTCTCATCATGACCTTGTGAGGTTTGGTAACAGGGTAGTGCTGGCTACATAGAATGAGTGTGCCAAGGTCTTTGAATTTCAGTTCTTCAGAATAGTTCACGATGAATCAGCATTAGTACCTCAGAAGTTTTGTAAGACTCAGTAGTAAAGCCATGTGACCTTGGACTTTTCCTTCATGGTAGATATTTTAGTATGGATCTCATCTCATTGCTTGTTACTGGGTTAGTAAGGTTTGTGTCTTTGTAGTACAAATTTGGTGGGTCACTTGTGACAATTCTCTTAATTGTATTTAAACTATCTGTATTGTCTTGAATTTCATGAGTTTTTTGTATAATCAGCTTTTGAGTTCTCTGTAGATATTCTGTTTATTTTAATTGCTTTGGAATGTGCTCCAAGAGAATTTTAAATTTTTCCATAGTCTTTGTGTTCTTTCACTGAGATTTCTGGATATGATGGATCAGCTGCCACTGCTTTTGTTGGGGGAGGAGGGGTCTTCTCAGAAAGTAACTTTCTCTGATCGTGGTCTCAGGATGTCAGTTTGTTACATAATGTTGGCTCTGAGTTTTGTCTGGGCACTTTAGACAAGTCTGCTTGTAGGTTCTTTGACTGTGTTTGGAGTCTTTGGACAGTTGTAGTCTGGTGATACAGAGAGATTCACTAGCCTCTGCAGGCCACACAATGTGAGCACACAACAGTTCAGGCAGGTACGATGGAGCTTGGAAGGGCCATGTAATGGTGTCCCCTGTTGAGCTCTGGGGTTGGTATAGACCCAGACCCTACATGAGGAGAGACAGAGGCAAGAACCTCAGCTCCCACTCTGGGATGCCCATACTCAGTCCTGACAATAGTGGGTGGTGTCATTAAGGCACCGTGGCTGGGAGACATTTAAATAGAATAGCAGTAGGAACTGGGGTTCTTTCTGCTGCCACTTGGGAATGCCCACCAGCAATGGGACCTGCAAAGCGTCTATCTGTGGATGCCTATGGACAAGACATTTCTCCCCTCTGATTCCCTTCTTCTGTAGTGGACATAAGCTGGGCCTCAGCCAGAGCCTTCCTTCATCCCAGTATGCTTAGGGTTGGGATAACAGCCTAGCTACGGTGTGCCAGGCTCCTCAGTCAGCCCTGTGGTCAGAACAGTGCTCCCTCCTGCTAGGGTAGGAAAGGTGCCCGAGAGCCCGGTATGCGGGAGGGATGTGGGAACCACATGGACACCTGCTGTCTGTCAGTGGTGGGATGAGCCTTGGTCCACATCATGTAGCCATGGTGAAATCCCTAGGACCCCAGGGCAGTTCTAGTAGAGAAGACAACAATATAGTTCCCTCAGGAAGGAAGGGCCCAGGGATTCCCTTCACCTGCACTGTTGCCCACCCTCAGGGAAATTCGCACTCCTCAAGCCTGAGGTAAATGTATCACAGAGGACAGGCAAACTGCCGGGTGCCAGGGCCTGCACCACACATCCTCTCTAGCCCAGCGAGCCTACGGGGATATTTAGGCTTTTTTTAATCCAGAATTGATGAATTCTGGAATCCCATGTCTTCAGAGCTTTAAAGAGAGAGCAAAATAATAAGAGGGTTTTTTGCCCTCTAAGCATTCACCAGGGCTTTGACTCCACATCAGTTGCCAAAAGGCTCACAGTCCTGGCTCTGCAGGCAGCCTGGGGATGCTGTGGGTCTCCAAGGCAGCAGCCAGGCCCAGCGGCCTCCGGTTAATCAGAGTGAACTGGGAGTCGTGGCCCTGGGCAGAGCTTTGGTTACCGCTGCGTTACGGCGCCATGGCTGTCCCACCACCACAGAATTTGCCGCCTCTAATAAAAACGCTTTGTGGAGTTTCCACTCAGAGCAACACAACTGTAAGCCAGCGTTTAGATTCTCTTCACCCCTCTGCTGAGGGAAGCAGGAAAAGCAGGCCTGGTGCAGGCCTGTAACGTAACTGCTTTTACTACCATTTCCCCGAAGGCTGCTTATGGGGATGAAAGTGATTGGGAATGGAAGGAAGGGCAGGAGAATTAATTTAAATTATGCTGCCCATGTAAATTGTTCATGGCTCCTAAAACCATGTAGCCCAATAATAGGCCATTTTCCAGTTAAATATTGTTCTTGGTAATGACATTTGTGCGCCCCACACCCCACACCCTTGGCTTTTTCCCAGCTACCCACTCTCACTCACCCACCCGTCTTTTATCAGAAATGTGAGGCAAAGTCAGGCAGGGCAAGGGCTTCAGGAGGCTTTGCTGAATCTTCAGAACAGACAAATCCATTTGACCAAGGTTTCAGTCACCTTGGAGTGGAATCCCAGCTGTGAACTAGCCATGCCATCCTCCCCATCCCACCCCCACCCCACTGATATTAAGCCACACAGACACTGGAGCAGAACTGTGGCAACTGGCTGTGTCCTGCCTTTCCTGCTTCGCTCCCTCTAACTGCTCAGCTGGCTGTTAACAGCAGCATATATATCATGGTGATGAGTATATGAGAACCAGCCCTAGTCTAGAGCAGTGGTTCTCAGCCTTCCTAATGCTATGACCCTGTAATACAGTTCCTCATGCTGTGGTGATTCCCAACTGTAAAGTTATTTTGTGGCTACTTTATAATTTTTGCTACTATTATGAATCATAATGTGTAAATATCTGATTTGCAACCCCTGTGAAGGGTCATTTGACACCCAAAGGGATTGCAACCCACATGTTGAGAACCACTGGTCAAGAGGCTCGTCTCCAATTTACAGCCTGAACCCCAAACTCCTAGTGTGGAAAATCTGGTTCCAAAACAACAGACCCATATGACAACAGATGCTGCCAGATGCAGGCAGGCCTGCCTCTGTGGCAGGACACCACATCAGCTTGGGTGCTCAGAGATGTAGGTGAGCATTTTTCACCCAGAAAAGATCATCGGCATTTTAAAAACATCCCTCTGCACATGCAGAATTTCAGCATCTTTCTAGTTTCCAGGAGATCTTGATTTTGCCTTTAATGGCTCAGTGTTCTCTCCTGGACTGTTGGCGGATGGCGAAGGTGGGTGAAATGTTCCTAGTGGAATGTTTAAATTTCCCACATGAATGCTCATCACCATGATATATATGCTGCTGTTAACAGCCAGCTGTCACCGAGCATTAATGAACTATTGCTAAGACAGACTGTAATGAATGTGCTTTTTAGATAGCATAGCACCTCCAGAAGGGAATAGACTCTCCACTTAACTGCAAAAGAGGGAAAAAACAAAACAAAACAAAAAAACCTCAACAGTAAGAAGCAGAGAGGGTCTCATGATACCCAAACAACACTAGGACATGTCAATCTTTTTCATGTGGTTACTCCTCCTGACCAGGCGGGAACAGGGCAAGCTGCCAGCATACAGCAGACATATAAGCTTGAGTTCTGCTCTCAGAAAGCTTATAGTTGAGAAAATGGTGTAACACGTAAAAAAATAAGAGTGCTTGACTCACATGCACAAGATCCTAGATTTAATGTCACAGTCCCACCCCCACCAAAACGTATTGTTAACTAACTTGAAAACCAGACATGAATGAGTAAAGTACCAACTTGGGCAGGGTGAGATCGCAGTCAGAGATCTCAGAACCCGAGAGAAGAGCAGCCTGGAGGCCAGCTCTGGCCAGAGCTTCCTTCTGAGATGTGAACCAATGTGGCATCTCATCCCTTCCTTCTCTTGTTATTCTTCAAAGTCCTCTCCTCCTCTTAATCCTTCCTTGTTTATCTTTTCCTCCTCTGAGCCTCCCTTCCTCTTCCAATTCCTTCCTGTGTCCCTTGTAAATCCTCCCTTTTGCTCCTCTTCCTTCCTCGTCTACACTGACTACTTATCCTACGGCGTCTGTGCTTGCCGGTACCATGCTTGATGCGGGAATGAACACGATTCACACCCACTCTAAAGGTCAAAAGCCAGTGTGTCCTGTGGAAGAACTAGGGCTTCGCACTTGGCCTCGCTGACTCCCCAGCCAGACACAGCCTGGGCTGGCATCTTCTCAGCACCCCAACGGAGAGCCCTTCCTGGTCCCGCCTGCCTTACCTGACAGTATGGGACATACCGTCGCTCCATCGCCTCACTAACTTGTGTGCCTGCGTCTCCAGGCCTGGTGAGGAGGCTGTAGGCTTGAGGTAGAGCCAACAGAGCAGGGAACAAATGCAGCCAATCTCACGGGTTTCCTCTGTGATGTCACACCATGGAAGCCCCCAAGTTATTACGGATTTTCTTTTCACCTGTTTGCTTTTGTAATACTCATCACAGTTCACGCCTTCCTGAAGGAATAACTATCAGAAGCCTGAGAACATCCTGGTAGGAAGGGACATTGTGGGAGGAAAAATGACGAGAGGTAGTGACTTCGTAAGGAAGATGAGATGAGGTAAATAAAAATACTGCTTATTCCCAAGTGCAAAACATCCTAAAAGCATCACCAGGAGCTGGGAAAGACCTAAAAACCATCACGCTGGCCTAGAAGCAGTTTCTCATCATCTTCCCCGATGTGCATGGTGACTGCCTTTAGGAGGGGTCTAGGATCATGTAAAAGCCCCTCATTTGCAATCTGTGCTGGGTGGGACTTCATCTGAAGTGCTCCTCCCCTTCACCGTACAGCAGAGCCCGGCTCTTGGCTGACACTACCAGCAGCAATGATAGCTCACTACACTTGGGAAGCTTAAGGGACTTTAAGACTCAGTTTCACTGCTCCCGGGGTAACTCACTTAACGCCTTTCCGCCTCAGTTTAACTGTCCACAGTTTTTTGTGTTACATGTGTTGACTACGTGGCCCTTGAAGATGGCGCAGTGGGAAAAGGCACTCGCCACGCAAGCCTGATGACTTGGGTTCTTTTCCTGGGCCCCACATGAAAGTAGAAGGAGAGAACAGATGACGTGAAGGTGTCCGCACACTTCCACACGCACACTGGCTTTTGTGCACCCGCAGAAGTGAGAAAATTAATAAGAGCAGCATGGAGTAAATAGTGCATAAATTTGCTTGCCGTTCATTTTCTACTACAACAGTGCGCCCAAAGGCGCCTCAGTTTGAGCTCTGTGCCACAGCCCAGCGCATAGGCAGGTTTTCAGTGGTTCACCCCAGAACTCACACTAACAGGAGAAGCCAGCACTCAGATCAAGTTTAGAGCATTTAGTGAGTTTCTTGCCAGTTAATCCCTAGTCTTATGAATGAGAAAACAGGTCCAAAGAGTACAGTACCTAGATGTAAGTGTTGGCCATGGCTGCCCATTGCCTGCGGTCCCTTTGCTTGTGATTTCTGGGGTGGTGCTCAGCAGCATGGAAGTGTGTGTATTGGCTGGTTTTGTGTCAACTTGACCTGAGATAGTCATCAGAGAGGAAGGAGCCTCGGTTGAGAAAATGCCTCCATGTGATTCAGCTATATGGCATTTTCGTATTTAGTGATCAATGGGGGAGGACCCAGCCCGTGGTGGGTGGTGCCATCCCTAGACTGCTGGTCCTGGGTTCTGTAAGAAAGCAGGCTGAGCAAGCCATGAGGAGCAAGCCAGTAGGCAGCTCCCCTCCATGGCCTCTGCATCAGCTCCTGCCTCTAGGTTCCTGCACTGCTTGAGTTCCTGTCCTGACTTCCTTTGATGATGAATATCAATGTGGAAGTGTAAGTCGAATAAACCCTTTCCTCCCAGGCTTGCTTTTTTGGTTATAGCATTTTGTTGCAGCAATAGAAACCCTAAGACAGTGTGCGTGAGCTGATCCATTTAGAGTTCTCAGGGTTTGGTTGTTGGTATGGACATCCATCTACCAGTATCCACCACACAGAAGCCCAGCCCTCCTCCGCACAGTCCCCTCACTGCCAGCATTACCCCATGAGTACAGAGGCATGACCAAAAGGCTGTTGTTAATCCTCTCCATGCAGCCTTCTGATAAGAGCACGGCACTCCAACTATAATGCCTGGACCCAAGCCAGCCCCACACTCACTCTGTGGCTCACCCTGACCAGGTTACCTGACCCCTCAGTTTCCATATTTGTAAATGATTGCCTACCTCATGAGAGTGTGGTTAGAATTATAGAACCTCGGGGTGTTTTGGTTTTAAAAATCTGGTTCAGCAGATGCAGAGATCCACAGCCAAGCACTGGGCTGAGCTCCGGGAGTCCTCCCGAAAGAAAGGGAGGAGGGATTGTGTAAGCCAGGGGTGTCAACGTCATGATGGAGGAACCCACAGAGACAACTGACCTGAGTTCGTGGGAGCGCATGAACTCTGGACTTAGGGAGCCTGCATGGGACCAACCTAGGCCCTCTGCATGTGTGTGACAGTTGTGTAGCTTGGTCTGTCTGTGAGGCTCCTAGCAGTGAGATCACTGCCTGTCCCTGGCACGCTAAGCTGGCTTTGGGGAGCCTGTTCCCCATGCTGGATTACCTTGCCCAGCCTTGATGCAGGGGGAGGAGCTCGGTCCTGCCTCAACCTTGATGTGCCATGCTTTGTTCAAGCCCATGGGAGGCCTGCCCCTCTCTAAATGAACATGGAGGAGGAGTGGATGGGGAGGGGGTAGATGGGAGGCAAGGAGAGGGAACTGTGATCGGTATATAAAATAAATGAAAAATTTTAGTTTAAAAAAAAAATCTGGCTCAGTCATTGTTAGACCTTCCCAGGCAGCTGCAGAGTGGCTACATGTGCTTACTGCTGCAGTACCACAGCCTCCAGAGTAGACAATGTCTCCAGTTGCTTATTTCCCTTCAGAAATGTAGCGGTTTCCCTCCTTCCTAAGATTTCCTCCTGTGTTCCCCAGGGAGGGAATAGTTACCCTGGATACTGGCTATTGGCTCACCCCACGCTGCCTCCTCACTGCTGTGGCCTCCGCTTGATCTGGGGGGAGACGGCCCCTCCAAAGAATGACGCCCGAGTTTGACTGGCATCACCTCCTATAAGAGAAAGAAAGGGGTTTGTGAAGGGGGTACCATGCCCGAATAAAGCCTAACAGAACTGCCTCTTCCTTAAAGTAAGGAAAAAAGATTTAGAAAAGGGAAGAAAAGACTTGTAAAGGGGCAACCTGGCCTCATAAAGCATACAGAAACTGTCTTTCAGCATGAACTTTGGAAAAAGGATGTTGAAAGGTTCCTGGAAAGAAGTGGTCCGGGCTGGAGAGAGGGTCAGCAGTCAAGAGGACTTGCTACTCTTCCGGAAAATTTAGGCTCAGTTCCCAGCACCCAGGTGGTAGCCACAGCCATCTGTGACTCTAGTTTCAGAGGACCCGATGCCCTCTTCTGGCCTCTAGACACTGCATGCCATGTAGTACCCAGACTCAGCAAGCAAGACACTCAGACACATAAAACTTGGGTTGTTTTGTTTTTGTTCTTTAGGGAAGGAATGATTGCTGTAAAGAGGTAGACATGACTGGCCTGATTTAAACAGTATGTGACCTGTATATCGATAGCAACACCACAGATTACTCAGCTAACCTGTACAACCTTCATGTTTTTAGGTGTGTCAGTTAGGTAAAGGAAATGTCTCGTGGGCCTAACACTGAGTTTGACCACATATCTCCTGTACTCATCTCATGTGGCCTTGACCATAGACCTTGACCTTCTGTCACAAAACTTCAGACACTAGCATTATTGTCTATCCATGTACTAGATGGAGACAGAGGGGTTTTTTGTTTTGTTTTTTGTTGTTGTTGTTGTTGTTTTTGTCTCTTATTTACTTGAATTACTCCTCCCAACCACCCAGGAGGGTGATATTTCTATTACACATGGAGGAACTGAACGTCATGGGTACTAAGTGAGCTGCCCAAGACCACGCTGCTTGAGGCTCAGGCCAGAGTCTAATCCATGACTGCCTGACTGAAGCCTCTCAGAAGACTTGCTGGGGGAACTCATTAAAAATAGATTCTCTGGGCTACATTTCTAGAACACGAACCCAGGGTCTCCAGAGATGCAGCTAAGAAAGCTGCTCTCTGAACAGGAGCCCCAGGGGGCTGGTGTTTCACAGAAGCACCTTTCTTGCCTGGCTGGCCACTCCAGCTGAAGAGCAAGCATATAAAGCAGACCCGTGTCCAGGCCCAACCCACATGCCCAGGTCTCTCTCAAGCTGTCATTGATATCAGCCACACATACCTCATGGAGTCTCATGGAAAGAAGTGAGGATGTAGAAGAATGTGCTCTTCCAGTGCCTGTGGAAAGGGGGTACTTTGCAAGGTCACTGTGAAAACAGTCTGTTTGGTGGCTTTTTTGTGAGTCTAATGATCCTTCTCACATGGTTTTATGGTGCAATGCATTCAGATTTCAAATTATTCACACACACAAATATCAGACTACAGTCTATTAGGGGATGGGGAGATGGTTCAATGGTTAAGAGTACTTATTGCTCTTCCAGAAGACCCGAGTTCAGTTTCTATTACCCACAGCAGGTGGCTCACAACTACCTGTAACTCAAGCTCTAAGACCAGACACCCTCCTCTGGCACACCTCGCTCCCCCCACACACACACGTATAAATACAAGTATTTTTAAAAGAATATAATCTATTTTACCTTTCAGAAATGCCTCTATTTAACTAAAATTTTACAGTGTAGGCTTAGGAATATTGAATATATATGGAATGTTTTCCAGGTGAATGTTAAATATGGTTGATTTGACATTCTCTTAGAAGATAGGCCAAAAAGAGAGCCTTAATATTGCTAAATGGGAAGTGTAGAATCTACAACAGTCTCTCTGTGGCAGTTACACCATGAAAAATGATCATCACTTTGATTCATGGCGCAGTTCTCTGTGCCCAAATCTGTGCTAAGCCAACAGCTTTGACACCATCCTTATTAAGTTTTACTCCCATCTGCTAAGGCTTAAAGAGACTAATTATCTGTCTAAGGTTCATTTAACTCTTAACAATAGCAGACAGGAGTTTCAAACAGTACCAGCCCCCAAATTAGCCATATTGGTATACATGTTCTCACACTGTACACCAGATTAGGATACAATCAAGCAAACAAGAACAGTGACTGTGCTAGACAAGATCAAGTTCATTCGTTCTTAATTTAAAGCAAAATTCATTATTAATGTAAGAAGTCCCTGCTTTTTAAAAAGAAAATCTAAGGAAAATTTTGAACTAAAACACTTGTCTAGACATGGTGACATTTTTTTTTTTTTTAATGACTGGCTATCAAGATTTTCACTGCTATACATTTGAG